AGGGATGGCTAGTGCAGATAGCCCTTGTGTAGCTTTGCAAAATTCAAAACAAACAATAAACAGACAAAGAAGAAAGTTACGTAGATTCTCCTGTTCAAAGACTTAATAAACACATTTATGCTACTGAGTACTTTATGAGGATTTCTGATTGAATGAATTCTCAAATTTGTATTACAAGCAATAAAAAATAAACCTTTTTTTTTGCCACATAATATAATTATTTTTAAAATAAGGTATTTGTCTTAAATTTTAATTGCAAGTGTAAATTTAAAGTAATATATGACTACTGCTGAAGTTGAACTTTTAAAGATGCAACAACCAAATGCATGCATCATTACAATAAAATCATTGTAGGGTCAACTACATGTTTAGTTTTATCTGAGACAATAGACTAGTTTACCCACAAAACTAATAAAAATAAAAATTAAAATTTGACTTTATAAAAAAAAAGATGGTATTGTTTATAGTGTTTCCATTTTGTTATGTAGTGCATGGGAATAATAATATATAGATATTTGACTGTAGTTTTTTTTTATGTACAGTTATGTGGGTATTTTATAAAACTTCTACTTAAAAGTTATGTGGGTATTCTATCAAAAATTTTACAGTAAAATTTCTCAAATAATTATCAAAATTCAGAGTTGTATCAACCATTTTAACTATCATAGGAAGTTCAAGAGATATAAAACCTAGTGAATGGTTTTAGAAGTTTGTGAAAGTATAGTACTGGATTTGTGGAAAATATAGTTATCTGTGCAGTCTTTCAGTACTTATATGCATAATTTGTTGTTTCCAGTCACTGATCAAACTACAGCAGAAGGAATGGACCCTTTAGAAACTGCAGATCTTATACTCAGTGCAGTAATATCGAAACAAGATGATGTCATTCTTGCACCAATGACGCCAAGGCTGGCTGTTGTTTTGCGTACTGTTTGCCCTTCTCTTTACTTTCATCTGATGAAGAACAGAGCTTGGAGAATTCGGAGAGATAGCAAGTAAACATCACAGGGATTAGCATCATGTGTGGAGTATTCCTTACATCTAGTGCAGGACCAAGTTAAGACTGTGATTATCATAAACAAGGCTAGTTTTAATTTACCAAAGATCAGTAAACAGAAATACTGCCATATATTCCATTTTTGTTATTGTATGTGGATAAGTTGTGAATCAGATATTTCTTTGTGCATGTAATTTATAGTTTCTATATTGTTTGATGAAGTTTAAGTTGTTTTGTAACTTAACCCTAAATTAAACTCGATTATTTGAGGTAAACTCTCTTAAAAAAGAAATTGCTTGATATATATAATTGGAAAAAAAAAAAGAGTAACAATTTTCAGATTGTGTGTGTTTTATCAGCTCTTATTTATTTCAGTTAAACAATTTTTGATATTATACAATTTGCCATTAAAATTGTGAAATTCTTTTAAAATAAATAGCTCATACAACTTGTAAATTTCTTGAAGCCCCCCTTTTGTTTTCTTAATTACCCTTGAAATCCTGTAAAGAGGAGGTAAGTTGTTAGGAGTAGGAAAACAAATCTGGTAACAATATAGTAATGACAATAAAAATTACACAGATAGTGTGTTGTTGTTTTGGTTTTTTGTAAAGGTCCTAAAGTCAAGTTAGTGCAACAACCTGAAGCTTCAGAAAGTTTTGCAGATGCTTTGTTCATAAATCTAAGAGCATAAATCCAATATATCACTGATTCCGAATTTAAAGAAATCAATGAGAATTTTACAAATAAACAGTTCTTGAATGAGTTCCAAAACTAAATGGTTTATTGATTGAGAAGTTACTTAAACCATTTAATTCTTTTTGTAATTTTTTAAGTAACTTTAATAACAAGAAAATGTTTTTCAGATAGAAATGTTGCATTATGTTCTATTATTTTGTAATTTCAACAGTTATCAAAGTTAGGCCTAATTAGGCTTACCAGTAAGTATCAAGCAAAGTTTCACTAATGTTCACTGTTATTTTTACATTTTTCTAAAACAAAATAAAAGTTTTGTAAGCATTATTCCATTATTTAGAAAATTAAACTGTATGTTTATAATATATTTAACAGCAACAACAACAACAAAAAAACTAAGAAGAAAAAATTATTTGAAGTTAATCCAAATTAAATACATTTTTGAATTCCACAGATATACATCAAAGTCCTTAATGAAATTTTTTGTATAATTAAAGTTCAAAGTTAGAATATTTTATCTTTTCCCAGTTTTAATTATTATACTTCTTGGTTTTATGTGACATTTATAACTTAAAACTGGTCATTAAAGTAATTGGAAATTTTCTGTAAAGGAAAAACAAAAGAAAAATTAAATATTTTTTTTCCTGCAGAAATATTTCCATGTTCAGCATGTGATCTTTAGACATCAATGCTGGTCGTATGTGAATATAAAGTCTTTTTCCAACTTAACAAACTTGGATTTTAAAATTATTTAATAAGTACCAAAAACTGGCAATCCAAAATGCCCTATATTTGTGGATAAAATCATTTAGCCTGGATAGATTTTTATTTCATTTTCATCTCAATTTATCTATTTTTGTGTTTAAAAAACAGAACAGTGTAGAGGTAGCATTTCAGTTCTACCCAAAATTGAAAAATTTAAGAGTAAAGTTAAAAAACAACAACAACGCGTGTCCGTAATTATTGACACAAATATTAGGCCTAACAGATTTCATCTTCTAGCAGTGGTAACCTTGTTGTTTTTGTTCAGTGTGTAGTATACTTCTCTGAAGAAGTTGTTTGTATCAAGCATCTCTTAATCAGCTAGTCTAGAACAATTCTTTATGTCAGTGTGCCACATAATTGCATCATTGTTGAAAAAATTACAAAATCATAGTCATAAGTACCTACAAACAAGCTTAGATTTTTTATAGCATATATCAGTGGTTCTCAAACATTTTAGTTCAAGGATACACCTCTTTCCCCCCCCCCCCCAGTACTTTCATATATCTATTTTTGACATTTTATATTTAGTGTTCAGTGGAACACAGGCAAGCATTTAACCTGGCAATAATGAAATAAACAAAAACCACATGTTTAATAGTGAAAAATGTCTTGCGTTAGATATGCAAGTGATGACGGTATAGCTTTTATTATAGTCACATTATTCATAGCAGGAAAAGTAAATAACTTTGTTCCAAGCTCCTTCCCTTCAGGGTGTACCTCAGTTTAAGAACCACTGATTTATATGATATAGTATTATTATATTAACATTTTTAATTATTTGCCAAAGTCTTTGTTTTGTGTAATGGTGTTAGTACATAACACACTATTTAGGGTGAAAACTACCTAGTTTGTTCAAATTTTTAAATCTATTTACAAGTCAGAAATATGCTAATATTCTTAGCTAGTCAGCTTTGACATGTAATTCAGTTGTTTCATTTCGATATTTTGAGTTCACATGACAGAAAAAAGTTTTATGCTAGTCAGTGTATGGAAAACTTTATAAAGCTTACAGTTCATATTATACATACTGATAGTTTGTATTCAATTTGTGAGTAATTCCACCTTCTCACTGTACTTGTTTAAATGGTTTATGAAAATGTGCATTTGAAGATTTTCATTTGAACATTTTGATGTGTTGGAGATGAATTGTTTTTCTATCTGTAGAAAAGAGAATTAATTACACTTTTATTTCTCTTAAACTGTTCAAAATTTGATTGAAAAAATCTTTGTGTAGTTGTCAATAAAATATTTGTGTAAAAGTCAATGCACTTTGTACATGTCAATTATTTTGTTACACAATAGTAAAAGTTTAATTTGTTTTGAAACTAGGAACAGATTTAATCAGAAGATTTTAAAATGAAAAGGTGATTCAGTGACTTTATTTTTATATATTTTTTATGATAAATTTTAGTTGTGAGGATAATACTTAGAAATATTTTATAAAAAGTAAAATTAACTCATTCCACCAGTTGGTCTGATTTGTGCTTCTCATATTACTTTATAACTACAAAGATTAATGTTGAATTCCTTTGATCAGGATAATAAAATTGCGAAGTACGTATGTCACATTATTTGCACTTCAAAAATTTAGAACTCTGAAATGTACATAATTCTGTAAAAGTAACAAGAAAAATGCCTCCTAGCATTTATTTGTTATGTTTAATTAATATGTTTGCAACCATTAACCAGTAGTACTATCTGTGAAGGACTGTTACATCCTACAGAATACTTGACTTTCTTGTTAAAAAAAAAGTTAACTGTACAAATATGGCTTGCTTTGAAGATCAACTAGCGCATAATGGATATCAAAGCATTTAAGGAAAATAAAGAACTTCAAGAAAGAAACTAGAATTTAAGACTATTTTAGATCTTGTGTTTTACAATCATAATTAACATGCCATTTTTCCCTCCTAAGTTAGTTTCATTTTTGGTTTATTAAAGAAAGGAATATCATTGGTGAAATTTTATAATTTAATGCTCAGAAGGATCTAATTTAAACCAAAACATAGATGACTTTGTTGACAGTAGTTATTATCCCCTAGTAAAAGAGTTACCTACAAGCTTGATGAGCAGTAACTGAAATAAAAAAAAATGTTTACTTTTAACTATAATTGCTCTTAAGAGCCAATGATTAGTTTTAATTACTGCTTAAATTAAACTTCATATAAACTTATTCTTGTTACTAATATGTACCAATTGTACTTAAACATGAGTATTATGTCACATTTCAGGACAAAAAAGCCAGTCATTATTAACTTTGTTACAGAAAAGTTTACGGGTGTGATTTTATTCATCACACTGACTTGTTTTAATCAAAAATAGAGGAGTCAAGATTTTTGGAATTAAAAAATGCGTAAACTAGTAGCGATATTCCAGACACTTGTTCTACTGCTAGCTAGTCTCCCATTGCTATTTAGTTGTGACAGTAATGCTTTATTGACCGGTTATTATTAATCATGATCATTAAGAAATGAAAAACTAATGCCTACAATGGTCAGTGTAAATATAACAGGGACTGGATGTAACTGGTATGAAGGCAGAATTAAGAAGAAAAAAAACTTCAGGTTTAAAAAAAAATCATGAAAATTCTATTATAAACATACGAATTAGAACACAAGTAAAAATGTGGCTTCCAATACTTTGGTCGTTTTGTTTCAAGTATATCTATAATATTATGTATACAGTTACTGGCACTGAAGGAATGTTTATTAACACATGTAACAGTTAAAACAGTAGTATATTTATTGTTTACATTGTATCATTCACAAGAAAAAGAAGAGATGGGTTGGTACGTAAGATTGAAGTTTACGTACACAAAAACATTTCTGTGATTATGTGCTTAAATTAGTACATTTTATAACTATGTACACAAAACAAAGAGAGTCATTTTTCCAGATAACTATACATAAAAAGATATCAAATCACAGGTACACTTCGAAAAGAGGGAACTGCTTCTAGTCAACCGGGGCTCTCTATCCATTTATCCAAGTTCAGATTTGGAAGATTGGAACTACTGCACAACACTCGGGGGTTCCTATAGAAACAAGAGTTTCAGCTTTCTTTGTTATGTAGATGCATCAGATAATGTTTGAATATTGACCAGATTTCAAAAAGAGGAGATAGATATACTGCCTTTCTAAGGGTAGACGGAATGAGTGTCTGTTATTTTTTCTTGGTTTATTGATTAAATATCTTGCTGTCCAATTCAAATGCAAGGCCTTACTGAAATCATATCTATGTGTTCCTCCAGTTATATATACAAACATATTAAAAAGGTTGAAAATGGCCTACAGCCTACAGATACAATACAAAATAGATTATTTTTTTTAGCCCTAAATGTTCGTGTTATTAAACATCTCATTGTTTTAAATATGTACAAAAATAAAGATAAAATATGTATATAAACAAGTTGAGGTAATAATGTATGCCAGTATTTGTTACACTGGCTTTCACACAAAAAAAACAAAACAATCTTATAGGAGAACTTGTAATGAAAAGTGTGGTCTGCACAAAACATTTTTATTACGATTGTATCCAGTGTTCCAAAAGACAAACCTACTAGTACTATACAATCCTGAAGATTAACAAAAATAGAATAAGGATGAACAGTTATTTGATATTTGTATAAACTGAGTTATAACCTGTTTTCTAATTCTCAAAGGAACGTTTTAAGTCTTCGCGTCCTTTGTGAAAAATATATAAAATATATTTTGAGGCATTGAACAACATGAAAAGTCCAATTTTGATTTTTAGAAGAAGAAGAAAAAGGCTTACTTGCAAAACAATTTCAGGTTTTATTAATAAAGAAATTCTTACCATCTTATATTCCACTGCTCCATTGGTCTTAGTTGAATAGTCACAATCTCATCCAGATTATCACATAAGATTCGGGCAAAAGATGTTTTCCTCAGTTCTTGAAGTTGTTCTAGGAATAATTTCTATTATTCAGATGCCAACTTACCAGTGTACAATCTTTACCAATGATAGTATTTCATTAACTAACATACATGTGAATGTTTTGAATAATGCTAATAGCATTTAGCCGTATATTCTACAAATTATCGGGGCGTGACTTAAAAAAAAAACACGTATTTTTCTGGTTTTTTTTTGTTTAAATCGTCTTGACAATTTAAACTCACTAAGAAGCAATGGTTGAAAAACTAACCCTTCCCCTAACTGTGGATTTATTAATTAACGCAGATATAATAGAAATGCAAGTTACTAACCCTCGTATATTCAATATTCATTGGTCGAGATATCAAGTTTACTGTCTGGGTTATCTGAAGGAAGAGAGACATAAGAAACTTTTATTTTTTAATTATGTACATGAAATTTACAAATTGCCAATGAAATTTAATAATCCACCTTCAAACGAAAACATACCAGGACTTGTACCTGATGATGACAAAACCTTGTCGAAACGTTAAAGTT